CCTGAATTTAAAAAGTAATTTCTTAAAAAATAGAAATAAAAAGCAAAAAAAAGAAATGTTCATAAAAGAACAATGAGTTGGTAGCATAAATACACAGGAACTACCTCAAATACTTTAAAAAGTAGTCATTAACTATACATTCATAGGAAGATGTACCTTAAGAACAAAAAGAATTGTCCCCAAAGTATGTTACATGTTATTAATATTCAGAAGTCATACTTCTGGTGGTAAAGTTAGTATTATTATTCCTTTTTTTGTTTGTTTTGGTTTGGTTGTGATTGGCTTCTATTGTATGCTTTTTTTCTCTTGTAACAGATGTGTTGAGGTATAATTTCCATATAGTAAGCTGCACACATTTAAATCATACAATTTGAAACATTTTGGTATGTGCATATACCCATGAAATTATCACTAAAATAAAAAATCGAGCATATCCATCACCCCAAAAGTTTCCCCCTGACCTTTTTAAATCTCTCATTCACTTCTATCCATATTGCCTCCTGCATCACCAAATAAATACTGATCTGCTTTTTATCACTACAGATTCATATTATATACTGCATATTTGGGTGGGGATGTCTCGCTCTGTTTAGTCAGCATAGTTATTGTGAGATTTATATATATATACATATATATATATATTTGTGTATATATATATATAAATATATAAATATATATATTGCTGCATATATCAAGGTTTTATTTATTTTTATTGCTGAGTAGTATTCCATTGTGTGGATACATCACACTTCATTTATCTATTTACCTGTTGATGAACATTTAGTTTGATTCCAGTTTTTTATTATTACAAATAAAGCTGCTAAGCATATTCAAGTTCAAGTCTTTGTGTAAACATGTGCTTTTATTTCTCTTAAATAAATAGCTAGGAGTGAAATGAGTAAGTCAAGTGGTAGATACATTTAACTTTTTAAGAAAATGACAACTTGTTTTCCAAAGCAGTTGGACATTTTTACATTCTCACTAGCAGTGTAGGACATGCCCATTTCTTCCATATCCTTGCCAGTACTTGGCATGTTAAAACTTTTTAATTTCTGCCACTCTAATAGATTTTCAGGGGTATATTATTGTGGCTTTAGTTAGTATTTTCCTAAAGA